GGGGGGGGGGGGGAGGGGCAGGAAGCATACATAAAGTGATAACCAGGATTTTAATAAGATGCTCTGCAATGTGCTGATGTTCCAGAAAGATGCAAACTCTTGCAACTGTGTAATCTTATTAAAGGTAAATTATACTTGAACTAACATCCTCTTTTGATAATCTGAATTAAGGACATTTTATTGCACGTGCTTTTTAAAAACACATCATTAATATAATGCAATAATTCTAGTCAAAGGAAAAAAAATCAAAAAGAAGAGCACAGATCTATTCTGAAGTACTTTATTTGAAGAGTAAATTTTATTTCAAGATCAGGTGTATCAACCAAGACATAATAATTCTGTGTACGAAGAAAAATGAGACTAGAAGAAAACGTGTGCCATACACTACACACACTTAGATACTTTTAACAGCTTTGTTACAATAGTCAGCAATACTTTTCTTTCATACAGAAAAGCAATTATTTAATATAATGAAGACAAAAAGCTATCTGAAATCAATTAGTTACCATGTTTGTTTTAAGGTCCCCCACTGCTGCAGACTTCACCTCTGTGTGAAGTGTTACATGAAGAAACTGCAGCTTATCTTTGTCAAAGGTGGTTCATTCCTTCCTTTTCTTTGTACACTGTAGACCAGAGTACGGCAGTCGACATCTGCACACATTTGGAGCTATGCATTTTCCTCCATGTTGACAAGGTAGTTTACATACAGCTGAAATGAGACACCGGATACATAGTTTGTCTTCAGCACAACACAGGATCATTTTTCTTCTTTGTCTCACTGTGCTAGCAAAATTGTTCCCTGGTGACTGCACTGGTACAGTATAAATAAAAGCATAATGGAAGAACTGAAAAGCAATGCCTCTCAATTTATGACATCATGGCCTTCACTGGAATACAGCCACAGTACATCTAGTCTTCTTCACACTCCATTCCCCTTTTAAAATACTATCATTTCTGTTTTTCTTTAAGGCACAGGCTATTTTTGAGATGGATGCCTCCATGAAAGTGAGGGAACAATAAAAATTCCTGCTGAAACTTACTCAAACTGGTTCTTGGATCCACATGCGTGAGGACACAGCTGCCACAGACTAGCCATTGCTCACACACTGCCCTTCTGTTCCCCCAGGAGAAGGGCAAAGGAGGACTGAGTGGGCAGAGCTTTAGCTGTCCCCTAGCTACACAGCAGCTCAGTTAACAAGCCAGGGGCTACGATTTGTTTCTGAGTATCTGCACCAACAGAAGTCAAACAGGCTGCAGATCTAGTCAGTTCAGGAACAGTGAATATTTTGACATTAAGAACATGACCACTCCTATCCTTATTGCTGGTGCAGGGAATGGAGCTAAGCATTTTATAAGTTCCCCGCATCTCCCATACTTTAATATCACTGTCTGCCTTGATACACTGATGAATACAAAGGATAAGCATTTACCTGGTCAAATGGGGAAGTTAAAATATTATTTGTTAATGTTTGCTTGACTATATATTGCAGGAGAAATAACACTAGGTGATCTGGATTCCCACAACCACACAAAAATTTCAAATGCGGAGGACTTAATCTGGAGACCTTGCACCCAGTTCAAAAGCAATGTTTAAACAAGCTTTCTCTCAGTCTCCCAGAGAGCAAACAAAGCACCGTCCCTTTTTACAGTCTAGGATATGGCTTTTAGCATCAGGGCAGTGCTGTTACGAGCATCCAAGGCCTTGCCCAGAGAAGGGTAGATTAAAGTTTTTATAATCATCATCTGCTTTTGTTAATCAAAATTTGAGAAAATGCAAGTGGTTGTTCAGCAAGAGTGTCAGTCAGTACTAGTCCTGATTACAGCCGGCTTCCACTCAGTCTTTTAAGAACACCTGGAATTGATTCTGCCAACTTACCCTCAAAGTGATAAGCAAGTTTCAATTTTCTATGTCCATAAAATTTAATGAAGCTTCTAACCCACATGAGTAGTGATAATGTTTCTGTAATGGCCATTTTCAGTTCTTTATACTGGGGTCTTGGTTTATAGAAAATATTTCAGAAATACAAGATACATAAAGTAATAAATTTGGTGACAAACAAAATCTGAATCCAAATTTACTTGACGTAAAAAAGTTATCTCTTTCTGAACAAATTGAAAAACCATCTACTCCTTATGCATACTTGTAAGATCCCCACTGTGCAAAAGCAGCACTCATGTACAGAATCACAAATGGTTTGGGTCCGAAGGGACCTTAAAAATCATCTAGTTCCAACCCCCCTGCCATGGGCAGGGACACCTTCCACCAGACCAGGTTGCTCAAAGCCCCGTCCAGCCTGGCCTTGAACACTGCCAGGGAGGGAATATTCACAACTTCTCTGGAAAACCTATTCCAGTGTCTCACCACTCTCACAGGAAAGAATTTCCTCCTTATATCTAACCTAAATCTATCTTCTTTCAGTTTAAAACCGATACCCCTCATCCTATCGCTCTACTCCCTAACCAAGAGTCCCTCCTCATCTTTCTTGTAGCCCCCTTCAGGTACTGGAAGGCTGCCATAAGGTCTCCCTGGAGCCTTCTCCAGCGTGAACAACCTCAACTCTCTCAGCCTGTCCTCACAGGGGAGCTGCTCCAGTTCCCTGATCATCTTCGTGGCCTCCTCTGGACCCACTCAAGCACATCCATGTCCTTATGCTGGGGGCCCCAAAGCTGGACACAGTACTGCAGGTGGAGTCTCACGAGAGTGGAGTAGAGGGGGAGAATCCCCTCCCTCAATCTGCTGGCTTCTCTTGATGCAGCCCAGGATACAGTTGGGCTTTCTGGACTGTAAGCACACATTGCTGGCTCATGGTCAGTTTTCCATCCACTAATACGCCCAAGCCCGTCTCCGCAGGGCCGCTTTCAATCCACTCATCATTGCCCAGCCTGTATTTGTGCTTGGGACTGCCCTGACCCATGTGCAGAACCTTGCACTTGGCCTTGTTGAACTTCATGAGGTTCACATGGTCCCACCTCTCCAGCCTGTCCAGGTCCCTCTGGATGGCACATGTTGACTGCACCATATTTATTATTCTAAGATACTTTCCTATCAGCTTTGCTAGGCACTGAAGATTTGAACACTCTATTGGTAAATCAAACAAGCAGAGATAGGATAAATGAAAAATGTCAGAAGTCATTTACCTAAGTGACATGCTCCACCGACCCATCCAGCTGGACAGCTGCAAATTCCAGGAGCCACACAAGCTCCATTATTCCGACAACCTTGAGGACAAATTGCTAGAAGAAAAGAACGGGTAAGTCAGCAGGATTTATAAAGCTGATATAAAAGAATACTGACAGAATGAAAGATTCAGGATGATACAAATCAAAATGGCAAAACACATTTTATTCCAGGCCAGATATGCAACTGGTATAACTGTAAAGGCATTTCCAGGACCATGAAAATGGCAAAAAAGTACTTAGCTACTGTGTTAAGAATTTTGGTTTAAATGTTAACAGATGTACATTTTAACGCAAAATAATTTGACACTATTTTATCTGAGTATGTACCAATAATATAGTACTTAATTTCTGTAGTAATGCAATGACAGTTCCATAGGTATTACCTTCTTAATACATTTTAAGTGGTTTTGTTACCGCAGTTATCAATTTTTAATCAATATAAATATTTTCATGAATGTAGATACTCACCTTCTTGGCATCTTGACCCTGTCCAGCCAGAAGCACAAAGGCACTTCACAACTCTATTGACAGAGATGCATTCCCCGCCATTTTGACAGCCTCCTTCACAGCTTACTGCAGAAGAAGAGCATAGGCAGTGCATTTCAGAAGCAGCACAGGACTTCAAATAATCATCTAAGCAGCTGGTCTACCATCAACTACTTGTTTTATCACATCTGCAAAGACTAAAATTTCAGCTATTCAAAGCAAGGCACAGTTCTCTAAGGAGTGCGCAAAGATGACAGAACCATGTCTGCAAACGCCAACATAAAACACAGTTAAAATTAAGCATGCGCTTAAAAGCTTGTTGAGCATTTAGCCTGAGAGTTCCAACAAACAAACAGGATTATAGCTATGGCACAGCTCCTCCCCTCCCCAGCTGTGAACCAACTGTTCATCAGCTGCACCACAGTAACTACTAACATGCAAATTCTTATCGATCCTGCCAACTCACAGCTGGTAAGCCAGCAACGTGTGGTGAAGGATTCACATATTTCCATACCTGACAGGACCTACACATAACAAGAGGAAGAAGAGAATGGGATATTACTTTGACAAATGAACCTATGACTACAGTCGAGTGGTGCCTTCCCAAAGGCCAACTATCTAAGCCAGCCTCCTCATTCCAAAATCATTCCACACATCAAAACCCTGAAGGCCTCATTAACGAAGCATTATTTATGCCAAACATGCAATAGGTATCAACTGTGGTGTGTGCCACCTTTGAAATATGGCATAAATACAGTTCTGTACAATCAGATGCATCCTTTCACAAGCATGAATGTAAGTGTATACACCACTTTCACTGTATTGAAGAGAAACAACTATCCTTCATTATAAGGATGGACAGTTGGAATATCTGCTTGTTACTTGGTAGAAAAAAATCCTAATCTCTGTTCTAGTGCAAGTTTTGAGCACAATTTCAGCTAACAGGTTTTTGGCACAAATTCTGAACATCAAGGACATGCAAGTCAACTTCAGCACAGCTAGAAAAGCTTTTCAAAGATTGTTTGCACTTTCTTTGTCACACAGTATAATTTAATGTATTTAATATTGATTGTATTTGATCAGTTGTGGTGACTGGGAGAAGTACCTGAAGACTGGAGGAAAGCAAGCATCACTCCAATCTTCAAGAAGGGCAAGGAGAACCCAGAGAACTACAGCCGGTCAGCCTCACCTCAATCCCTGGTAAGGTAATGGAACATCTGATCCTGGAAACCATTTCCAGGCACATTAAGGACAAGAAAATTATCAGCATGGCTTCCCAGTGAGGGTGACCAAGCACTGACACAGGTTACCCTGGGAAGCTGTGAGGTCTCCATCCCTGACATATCAAAAGCCATCTGGACACAGTCCTTGGTGGCTGGCTCTAGGTGGCCCTGCTTGAGCAGGGGGTTGGACAAGGTGACCTCCAGTGGTCCCTTCCAACCTCAGACATTCTGTGATTCGGTGCAGTTCTGTAATAGCACACTGCACCACACTGCAGGCTCCATATGCCACAGGACTCCCCCTTGAAGGTGAGCACAAGCGTATCCTTTGCTTTACAAGGATAATGTGATAACAAATACAAGTAGTACTTTTACTCAGATACAAATCTAAGTATCAGCTGTAGTATAAGCATTAGTGGAATCCTTACTCTGCTTTTTCTAAGTAGTACTCATCTTGCTTCTGATTTAAGCTCTTCCAAGAAGATCAAGTTCCCTCTTATTGTGGGGTCCCTGTAAAGACCCCACAAACCTACACTTTCAGTTGGCTTTTAAGAAATCAAATCAAAATAAAAATCCTTTTGCTGGAAAATGACAGTGCTCAAATTTAATTCATTGTTGTCTCAACACTGTTATGTCTACTCAAAATGAATAGTTATTTCCCCAGCATTACACAACAGTACTATGTTATACAGATCTTCATTAGAAGACACTTCCTCATCTTTTTTATTCTTCTATGTTAACAATTTTGGTATCAAATTATTATCACTGGCAGTTGAATTCCCATTCAGTCTAGTTAACATCCCAGAGCTACAATTTAAGTCTCTGCAAGTGTGTACAGTTGTTACATTAGGTACACTCAGATCATGCTTTCTTCATTAAATAACAAATACAGCTTTATTAAAAGACAAACAAAAAACCCAAAACAAACCCAGACAACCTAGCCAAGTTCCTTCCCCAAGTTATAACGCACATTACGTTATACTCTAAGTAAACTCTTGCAGCTCTTTCACATTTGACAGAAATAAAGAAAATGTCTGCAGAATAAACATCAAGCATAAATAATCCTGTGAGGTGTTGCTAGCTGCTGTGAGCACAGACAGACAGCATGCTTATTAAGTTCTCAGCACAATGACAACTGCCCAACTAATTTACCGGTGTCTTTTCAAAAAGAATTTCTAGAAATTTTCTTAGGGACAGGTTGAGGCTTTTCTTCTGAAAGAAAAACAATGTTTTCTTTTCCTTCATTCTCTGGGGATATCTTGCCTACTACATAATCTTCCCCTCAACCTATTTCAAGTTTGCTTCCCCTTTTATCCCAGAACTCAAGTTATCATCAGTAGTCTGATCAGCTCATAACAACATAGCAACCTTTTCTTAGATTGCCTTTTCCAGTCCACGCATATATTCAATAGGCTTCAAAAAAACCATAAAAATTGGTGTTTGCTATTCATCTCTGTTATTACCTATCAACAATACACTGCCAGGCATACCTTCAGTGACTTGCCCTTAATATTACCACCTTGCAGACACTACACAAAAGTTTCAACTACCTAACGCAGAAATATTTATCTATACGTCATCACATTATTTAGAAAGAGTCTGTTATAGAGCTTAAACAGAATACTTAACACATAAACAAACAAGGTCTTTTCCAAGGCACAAAACTCTCAGATTCTTACAACACATTTCAGTACTTATATCCCAACCCATTCTTCAGCAAGCATGCAGATCCTCTAGGTCATTCATTTTCTGACAGTAAGGTCTAAGGAATTAAGGTCATTATTTCAAAGTGCATTAGATCCTGGACTTGAGGAGTCACAAATTAATTTTATCTGTTTTCAAACTCCTTGTCTTTTCAAGCTATCACTTACTTGGGTCTTACTCACCTTTATGACAGTATCTACCCCCATAGCCAGGTGGACATCTGCATTTGCCAGGTCTGAGGCACTCCCCACCATTTTTGCATTTTGGATAACATGTTGCTGTAAGACAGACAAGAAACAAAGCTTGCAGAAATACTGGTGAAGCTTACCAAAATTACTACTTAAGTATGTGAGAAATTTGCATTATTTTAGTCTCCAAGTACTCAGTTTGTCTTCACATTTCCTAAGATGTATTTGCCCTGCCATCCTACATTGCCAATCAGGTGAAATCGATTCCCTGCACGGAGAGTGCTCCACACCATTTTAAGCTTTTAAACGCTCAAAACTAAGGAAGCTTTTGGACCCTAGACAGAAAAGGCAGAAGAAAGAGCCATATTAAATAGGAAGAAAGGAACACAGCTGAACTGCCAAAGAAGCTTTTGATAATCGAAGTCAAGGAATAACAGGTAAAAAAAGAGGTGATAAAAAGAAATGATTTAATAAAAAATGCTGCAACTTCAGGGGCGTCTGCAACTTCAGGGCATCTTCTGATTCTTAAAATGGAATATCAGACTTCACTCTCTACTGGATTCCTACATAACTCTCCAGAAAAAACTACATGCTCATTTCCTCGTACCTCTTCTCTAAAATGTCTCCAGAAGTAAGTCAGCACTTCCTTCTCCTCCACCCTCTTTTTTTTGTCTCACTTTGCCTCTCAGAGACCTTTCTGAAATGTACAGTGTTTGTTTAGAAATCATCTGAAATAAATGTAACTGTAATTATCTGTTGGGATAAAAGCATCTACAATCATCACAGATTCTGGAACTTTCTCACTGCTGGCAGCTTGGACAGGTTGGATAAAGCACAAATTTTAAAAATCTTCATTTTGCAAAATTATGGGTAAATCCAGTCAGATTGAAAATAAATTACCTATCACACAGACCTCCTTGCTACTCATAAATCACTCCTGAATCAGACCTGGTGTCTGAGAAAGTATTTGTTCATTCACACACAGATTTTAGAAACCCATGTGTTTCAGAGTCTCATCTGAATTAACTGCAGGTGTGAGATGAGTTCTCTACACCACACCTCCTCATCCTTTGACTGGATGGGTGGGAAGTCTGAAACAGAGGGAAGAAAACAAGACAGAAAAGAGCAGTGAGTAACACCACAGTGATTTCTCCCTCATGTACTTATACTTATATAAGTAGTATACTTATACTACTTTCAAGTGACCCAACTGAAGAACTGAGTATTTTTCACATTAGTCTTTGCAGAATGAGTATTTGCATGCAAATAAAGGACACAGACAAGTATGAAAGAATCATTCAGCACTCAGTTCTGCATAACTGTTTTACCAGATGCTTTCAGTTCATTGGAAATGCCATATAAGAGCTCTCAGTTTAGAAAAACTCTTTATTTCTGTGGTATTTCACATAGTTTTCAGTTCAGTTTTCTTCATAGAACAAGGGATGAAGCTTCATTTATCCATTTTTTCTGCTACACTGATGACCTTATCAGAGCAAGCATTCAGCAGTTTCCTTAACAATTCCAGACAGTCCACATCTCTAGTTCCAAAATGGATCTCCATCTCCAACAATCTTCCACATCTCCCATAGGGTCTAAAAGTTGTTTGAAACAGTGAATACAGCATAGGTATTCAACCCCACTATGCCGCTCATTAGCTGTACATCATTTGTCACCACCTGCCAGACTTAGCTTCTAAATAAAACAATGCTCCATGAATAATTACAGTGCTGAATTAGATTTTCAGCGTCTCACCTCAGAATTTAAAAAGAAAAATAATCACTTTTAAATGCAGGGCATTGAGAACTAGCACAAATATTGTACAAATTATATCACCTCTTTACACAAGACAAGAGGTGAAGCAAAAGAACTCCTGATACTGAGTGATTTTTAGTAATTAATAGCCACAGTCCTCTGCAGCTAAACTTTTGAAGAAGGAATTAGAAATCAGACATGTTACATTAAATAGGGTTTAAACAAAAACTCTTCTCCTCAGTGTTTACTTCTGCATATTGGACAACATCTTCAAAAATACTTTGTCTCCCCTTGGAAACCAACAGGAACAGTCTTCAGTTGACCTTAGCTTTACGTCTCCTACCATGGAAATGGGATGTACAAAGGACTTTGTGGATCAGGAAGCATCCAGGAAGTAAATCTCAGTACTTTTACAAGCACTTGTTTATATTTCAAATAAACAAGTAATCCAGACCCCCCCCCTACTTTCTACATGCTCTTTTGATCTTTTCGTTAGTACTATTCTCAATAATAGTGCCTAGAAATACCAGTTTAATGTTGCTGAGGCTAGAAAAGCTGTCAAGCCTCTAAAAGCATCATTCTTTACTCAGGTAAGTGTTTAAACAGGCACAGTGAAAATGTTAGAAGGAAGCGGATGCAAGAAGCCTGTCCAGCAAGTTGATCATTACCCATATTCAAGCAGTAAAACATTATCTGCTGGCAATACGGCCCTTTCCGCTGGCTGGGTCTACTCACCTACGTGTGTGTCTTCATAAAGGAGCTGGCTCTTGGTCGTGCTCTAACAGTTTGCTCTCACTGCCTCGCCTCACCAGAAACCGGGTGCCTTTACCCCTCCTCTTCCACCACACCTTATTCCTGTCCTCCTAGACACCTAACCACCGGCCTCCCACGGCAGATCCGAAGCCGAGCTCCGGGCACCCTCCCGGCAGGGCTACTTGCAGGCAGGCTGGCAGGTCAGGGAGCTCACCCAGATCCTTGTGCCCAGCCCTGCTCGGGCCCGGGCGCGTCCCCAGGGGTCACCACCAACCGAGCGTCCCCACGGCCCCGGCAGGCGCTGCCCGCTGCCGTCCCGCTCCGCTCCCCGCCGTCTCCTCGCCGTTCCACTCCCCTTTCGCCCCCCACTC